GAGTTTAATATTCATGCCAAAGATGGTGGGCAGATTTGACAGATCAAATTGATGTGCTAGGCAAAAACCAAGCGGGAACCAGCTACTGGAAATATGCAGGTGTGTCATATCTTGGCTGGAAATCAGCTTTTGATATAGAGCAAACCTTATTCGCGCTTACAAATTTGCCTGCTTGGCAGCTCTATGAAGTTCTAGCTCCTGCTTCGTAGTCAATGAAAAAGGAAGACTGTTTCATCGGCTACGATAAAAGAATATTCGGCGACGTTCGCAATGCACCTTGGGATAGGTTGACAAACAATCAAGGAATTTTATGCACAACCCTTCTGAGGAAGTGTACCTGCTAAACATTAGTCTGTCTCCAATGGGAGACTTTGAGACGCTGGTGGCAGCAAACATACCGGACTTTTCACCACAGACATTATGCACAGACCGCCAGTCTTACGCGTATGACCGTGATTTTGAAAAGTGTGGGCAAACAATAGGCGAAGCGATGGATGGCAGCGCGTTCAGTGCGCATTACACGCAACGCACTTACATTGCCTCAAATTTTGTTTACATGTGCTCCCAAAATACGTTCAGCTTTTTTGCTCCTCTGTTCTGCTATCTTTTTTTCAAACGTTGCAACCGCATTATTTTGAATCCCTTGGGGCTAGATTAAGTAAACAGTGGATTTTTTTACAATCGAAAAAATGGCTTCATAGAATTTTATGGCTGGAATTCTTCAACTGTGAGTAAACTCCCTAAACCGAGGGGTGAATTTGCCCATAATTTTGATTTCAGTCGGGTGCCGCGCAGATCACGAAAAACCCCTGTAGTTTTGAATAGGATCTGGTGGCCTATGCGTTTATATGTCTGTGTTTTTCACAGTTTTACGCGTCCTCATAACTATGCGCGCATGCTCAGAACGCGCGCATGCACAGAACTTCAACATGAACAATGGACTGGTATGTTTGCCGCCACCAAACGTCTCAAAGATTCCCATTGATCACATGCTCAGCTCAGAACCACGCCATGTTCTTTTCACATAATGGTGATGCATTGTACATTTAGGGTAAAGTTCTTCACAAAAATCGAAACAGAGAGTAAGGAGAATCCCTTCCCTGACCACCACTTTCTGTCTGAAACCATGACCGTGAACATGAATAATCTAGTATTTGCCAATCGGATTTGAAGCTCACTCATCCTAAATTGACCAATCACATTTATTTTGATGGACGTGATACGAAGAAGAAAACGGGTTTGCTTTCCCATTCGTTCGTTCTTAAACAACGCATGGCTTTCATGCATGTCATGTTTCTGAGCAGCAAAATGCTTCGGGGTGGAGTCAGCTGAGATTTTGCCTGAGAAGGTGGTGTAAAAACTTACACCGCGTGTTGAAATTGTATCCGCTTTCCATAAGGATCTTCGTTAGGTACCACGTCAGATCATAGCCGCTGTAGTCCACACTGAGAATGGCGTCGGTCACCGCGTAGCCGTCGCAGACGGGCACCGCGTGCGAAGCGCCGTGACCCGACTCGCACACGAGTCCCGTAGTTCGACCTGAGGCGTAGAGTGACAACACAGGCTGCATGGCCGCGTAGATGGCAGGCGCTTTGAAGGTCTCAAACATGATCTATGGATATATTACAAATCAACTTCTGTAAGTTCTGAAGGAACATTAATTGCTAAAATGCATGTATATGATCAGTACGTGCTCTGCTTGCGTTTCATGAGCCTCAAAATGCAAGATTACAGTGCACGTACATGCACAGTACACGTATATATACGGTACTGTGTTTGTAAGTTAATAGTAACGATCGCGACGCGGGGCGTTCGATTTGCCTGCTGTATAATGCTGCTGGGCCTTAGATAAACCAAACTGATGTAAAAGAAAAAAAAATCAACCAAATGAAAAAGAAGAAAAAAAACCCAAGGAATACCCATCAAAGAAAGAGAGAAAAACCAAAATCTAATAAACAACCAACAAAACACCCCAACGAACAAACACAACAAGAAGCAAACACACCAACAACCAAAACAAACAAAAACAAAAAAATATTATTGATATGTAAACAAAACAAAGCATAAAACCTGACTCCACTTCCTTCGGACGTTTTAATAGTTCAGACGCTCAGTTTGCCAAAACCGAAGCAAACCCACACGATTTTCAAACAAACGCCCTTTATATTAAAGAAAACGGAATACGGAGCTAGAGTAAACCTTCAAGTTGATTCAGTGTTTGACACGGGATTGATCAATGGGACCATACAATAGAAACATTCTACTAAATTTCACTAAAAGCCTTGAAACTACACCTTTGTTTCAATTAACCTTACTTTAAATTTTGTTTTGATATTCTAACCCACTTACACATCTAGTAGCTTTTTGTCTTAGCGCTAACGCACATTTGTGTATTCATGAGTAAACCATGATGCCATCCAAGACACTGAATTTCAACGCTGCACTATTTGTGCACCAAAAATTACAGATTTTTTTAAATACTGCCATTGTAGATTTCATTTCCCCTTTGGTAATTAATTGCCGTTAGTAAACTGCAATAATAGAGTGAACAACATTTTCTCAGAAATGCTTTTAAATAGCAAACTTGGAGTTCACGACCTGGACATGTAAATATGCAAATTGTACAGGGTCTTCCTGGATTTACATCAAGGCGAAAGCGCCCTCACTTGCGTTCAAAACGTATAGTTTCAGTTTGTTAAACTCCAAAAGAGTTGTCCAACAGTCTTCATGCATTGACAAAGAGTACATACATACACACACAAAAATGATTCTGAGAAAACTCCATTGCAGGGGCCCTATAAATCCTATCCAAAGCCCACTCTAGCTGTCGGCGATGCATTGTGCTGGGTTCTGTACAAGATGTCTGCTGTGGCTTTCCCGTACAGTTAGCACGAAGCTAAGAGTAGGTGCGAACTTGGTACATTTTCTACAGTCGGCTCGATCTATCCTTGAAGTATATAAAAACCTTGAGGCACACTGGGCCTGGGTCACCGTTGGCGTAATTACACAATTTAAACATATATAGACCTTTTGTAAAACCCTACTTTTTAATCATTGAAAAGCTTTACATAAAACTGTGCTTGCTCAGAGTATTTCTGACAGAAGGTGCTTTTCGAATAATTATACAGCTAAGGCTGTCAAAAATCCTTCTCAGGTTAACTTTAAATCTAGAGAACTTAAATTAACTTGAACCTGCTGTTTCAGTGGTTCAATCTAAAGAGACACAGCAGAAGGTTAAAAAAATGGCGGGTGAACTACAACTGCGTG